GTTTCACATTATTAAACAATATATATACTGTCTACAGTAAACACCAAGTCGATATGAGGTTGTCAAACATAGTTTGGTTAGAAGATTGGTTTGGCAATGAATAAATAAATAAATAATGCTTTTATTCAGCAAGGATACTTTAAATTGATAAAAAAAATACATTTATGTTACAAAAGATTTTATTTGGGTTTTCTGTTCATCAAAGAATCCTGATGAAAATGTATCATGGTTTCCACAAAAATATGAAGCAGCTCAACTGTTTCAACATTGATGGTAATAATAAGAAATGTTTCTTTGAACAGCAAATCAGCATATTAGAATGATTTCTGAAGGATCATGTGACACTAATATATTTCATATATATATATATATATATATATATAGCCTATACAGTTTACATTTTTGAGAAACATCTGTCTTCTGTGATTTCTGATGTTTTTTTGTTTTTTTTCACCCACGAGGCACTGTCCATGAATCTCATGTCATTGAAGGTATCCAGGAATCTGCTTTCAGAAAGAATACCTGATCCAAGGCCGCTCTGCACCGCTCGGACAGACAGATGGTGAATCAGACTGTGACAAACTCATGCGCTGCTCCGAGGTGTGTTTGTTCCCTTTCTGCTCAGATTGAAGGCCTCGTGATTGATTTGAGCTGCTTTCCCCCTTTCCCATCCTCAGCTCTAATGGGATTTAAGGGATTTGGGTTTGGTCCTTGATGGCCAGTGGATCAATAAATTGTTCAGCAAGGACAAATCGATTGCTTCTTTTGAATCCTGCTGCTTCTTTGCCAACAAATATGTGAACTGTGAAGGTATTGTGCTTTATTAAGGGTTCATACATGATGGTTATACAGAAAATCACACCTTACCTTTGTGCTCTTGCTTCCTTGTAGACACAATGTTGAGATGCTTTTATTCTGAAGGTCAATGCTTATATTGATTTGTTTGTTTGGCTTTTAGATGCATTATTTGTGAAGGGCCGATACACATCTGTTCCTAAGCAGTTTGCGAGTCGTTCTTATTCTTTGCACATTCTCCTCGCAATTAAGTTCCGTTCTCTTCCCTGTCTCTGAAATCTTCGAGATGCACCATTTTGTTTTGCGGTGAATGTCAGAATCATTATTGCCTGCTGCGTCTTTTGAGGTTTCACCTGACTTTTCCGGCACAGGAACAATGCTGTGAGCTGTTGTCTGTGAAAAGAAGCATCCTTATTTCACAGAAGCGAAGCGCAGATTCGGTGTGAGAGTGAGGAATTACTGAGTCACTGGCTGAGCTGCTGAAGGTGTGGGTTATTAATAAAAGAGCTGTATATGAAGATCATAGTAGGGCAGATCATTATGTGGAGACTCATTTATGATGTTGGCAGTGTGTGGTGACTGCTGCTGTTAAAGGTGCTGAGGTTTTTATTGCAGGCTAGAGGTCACAGCTCTTGGGACATGAGAAGATGAAGCTGTAAAGATGCATAAACAACTAGATTTTTACGTTTGTAGATGATTTTGTGTGTGCCTATCTATGCAAAACTCACTTCTGATATTCCAGGGAGTTGTCAGGGTGTTGCTATGCAGATCCTAAGGCATTCTGAGTGTTTTTTTAATGTAATATAGGTGATGTGGCTGTTGGAGGGTTCTGTGGTTGATTACTGTTAATGTTTAGTCTCCCAGGTGTAAAACACAAGCATGATCACACAGAAACGTACTATAAGTATTATATATTAGTATCATATTTGTCTTATTTGCAAGCAGAAAATGTGGCAGATCGTACCAACCACTGAACATGTTTACATGCACATAATTTTCTGATTAACATACAGATCTGGTTAAGACTTAAAAAATAAATAAATAAATAAAACAACTATTGAAGTTTCACCTTTATATACACATTTAATTTGTTTTAGAAATAAGTCTCTTATGCTCAGCAATACTGCATTTTAAACAAAAATGAGAATTTCTAGAAACCAGAATATTAGTCTTGTTATGCTAAAAATGTTGATGTGTTTAGTAAAATATGACCAAATCCTGATTAATATCAGAATGTTCTTGTGCATATGAGGATTCAAGTACAGGCTGACTGCCATTTACTTGAAATAAATCCGCATGTAGACAAAAATATCTAGTTCTTCTGACTTTAGCTCAGTGTGAGAGGTTCCTACTGTTTGTGGATCTCAAACAAGGCCACAGATGGCACTGTGTACATCTGTGATGTTGTGCCTAGTTGCACTTTCAGCCACAGTAAGTCTAATTTCAGCTACAGCCTCTGACCATAAAAGAATGATGAACATTTTGTTTTGTTTTGTTTTTATCATTCAGATGCTCTGATTGGCCAGAGGCTGAGGACGCTGTTATGTCACGCTGCTCTGATTGCTGAAAACTCAGGAAGAAGTTGCTTTATGATTGCTATTTTTGTGCCAGTTCTTCTTCATCAGTTTGAGAGTAGAAGCGCATCGAAAAAGTATAATTAATAAATAAATAAATAATAATAATGGTGTCTATGCATGCCCCGTGCTGGTTTGTGGGCCTTCAGATTGTCTTTGGTTCCTGAATTTAAAAAAAAAGTGAATATGTTAAATATTTATTATTATTAATACTTTATCCTATAACGTTATACAAAGTTGTTTTGTGATGTAAATGGTCAACAGTTTATTTTCTTCTTTGTTTTGTCTAATTGTTAAGCTACACATTTCTAAATTGTTAAAATATTTAAACATATTTTAAACAAGACACATCAGTTTGAGACCAGAAACTCATCTAAAATGTCTCAATATGTAAAGTATTCACAAAAAGAATAGTTTTTAAAAATTCAGGATCCGAAGACAATCTGAAGGCTCACAAACCAGCATGGGGGACATCGTGGATCCCCTACGGCGCGCTGACAAAGACAGAGCGCCAGACTACTGCTGACTGTCATTTCTCAGCCTGTGGAGGTAATCCAAGATCCATCATCGAGATGCTTTGATGTGATGCTGATTGATGACTACAGCACGATACGACACACCGAGGACCGGCCTGCAGATGCTGTGGGCTTTTGACCGAAAGTCCCAAGCTACTCTGTCAAGAAGCGATCCATCCATGCGGGCTTCCAGCCGGTGCTGTACCTAAATGAAATTCAGTTTGAAAGTGATAGGGGCCTGTGCAATTGGATTTCGGTCTAGGGAATGACGGCAGACGATACAGCGAGAAAAGAAAGGCCAGAATTGGGGAATAAAGCGAAGCTAGGAGATGATGGGTAAGCATAAGGAGATGGAGCTCAATTTAGCATGCAAGATTTTCCACCTACTCCATCTGCACTCGGCATGACTACGGTGGACTCCTCTCCTCGCCTGGGTTCTCCCACGGGTTTAATTTATGGTGCCGGCTGAGCAGCATCACGCATTTGAGCCTGACAGCCCACGCTCTGCTTGCCAGTCTGCCTTCTGTCTGTCATCTCTCGCATCTTCACCATCACGCACCGCACCTCCACCTCTCGTCTTCAGCCCCAAAGCGCTTCTCGTGAATCCTGCTCCTGCTGCATCCGCTTAATATCAAACGAGAAATATTATTTGATATTTGTCTCTGATATCCATTCGAGAAGATGAAGAGACAGCGAAAGCTCAAACAGGGCCTACAATTAACATTCACTAAGCGTCTTGGTGAGTATATGAAACAGTAGGGTTAGTTCACGCAGAATGCATTTTTGCTTTGAAAAACATGAGATGCGAGCAATGGAATGGGAAAAAATGCTCAAGACGTGTTTTTAGAAGATGAACTTCTTTTAAGAAGTCCTTAAAAGTGGGGTAAGCGATTTCTGGTAGCCAATGTTGACATTTGAAATCACCAAAACAAACACGCCCCTACCCCAAAAGGGTCTCGCCTCTATTTTGATAGCTCCGCCCCACACATACGTACGCAACCCAGGCAACGATTAGTTCTGTGAAACAAAGCAAAACCAATGTTACCCCGTGTCTACACCGGACGCGAGTGGCGCGGCGCGAGAACTTATTATAATCAGTGATGCTGTCTACACCAAAGATATATATACATATCTATGGTCTACACTGGATGCGGTGCGGCACGACACGACAAATCCCAGACAGAAAACTGCTGCTGCGTTCTGTTCATGAAGTATTGACACAAATTTCAAATAATTTTCAACGGTCGCTTTGTCGCGTCCAGTGTACTAGACAGACTTTAGCTGTTGCGGTGCAGACACGGTGTTACTCACCTATCGAGAAGAAACAAAGCAACCTCGGCGTCCGATCGCAGGCCTTCCGCTCCTTGAGTTCTCTCCAGCGCTGGAAAGCTGATCCGAGCTGAAGACTTCTTGCCTTATTGCCTTAAGCCTTTGTTTGTTCCGCAGACATTTTCCTCTTTTGTTTTTTATCCGCCATCTCTATCTTTCTGTCGCTTGGCTTGCTAATGTCCGTCCCGTGCACTGAACTCTTTTTCCTCCACATCATGAGTATACACGCCCCTTACTGCTGATTGGCTACAAGTTTGTTTTGCTATTCGGCCCGAATCAGATTTCTAAAGCGTTTTTGAAAAATCGCTTACCCCACCTTTAAATTGTAGCGCTCCTGGGCTGTGTCTCCAGTCTGCTCTTTATACAAACGCAACTCCTCTTCTGACAAACACATCATCACCTTCTCATCCGCTATTGCTTCTCCCAACCCATCCCTCAGAGTCCTGACCCCAAAAAAAGCCCATAATCAGCACATTCAATCACACTTAAACAATAGTACATCAGAAACCCTTTTCAATTGGCTTAGTTTAAGCTACCTTAGACGTGTGTCATCCTCTCCTGCTCGGGCAGCATCACACTTGGTTTTGACCCACAGCGAGACAGGTTCTGCGAAATGATCCAAAATCTGTGTTCCCAAAACCTGAATCCAGCGCACAATCCAATCTAGAGCCCGCTCCAGCTGACCCCCACGCCGGCTACACTGCACGGTCAGCGTGAAACAGCGGTTGACCTGAAACATCCACATAATACATCAACAGATGAGAGGCTTATATTGACGTACATTTAACTCAATGTACAACTTGAAAATAATCTAAATATTCATAATAAAGCAGACAATACACATATAAGGTCCTTGACTTCAAGGGCACAATGTCATATTGCTCCTTTTTATTCGCTGTTAAAGGTGGGGTAAGCGATTTCTGGTAGCCAATGTTGACATTTGAAATCACCAAAACAAACACGCTACGCGATATTATAGATCAGTGGTCTAGCCCCTATTTTGATAGCTCCGCCCCACACATACGTACGCAACCCAGGCAACGATTAGTTCTGTGAAACAAAGCAAAACCAATGTTACCCCGTGTCTACACCGGACGCGAGTGGCGCGGCGCGAGAACTTATTATAATCAGTGATGCTGTCTACACCAAAGATATATATACATATCTATGGTCTACACTGGATGCGGTGCGGCACGACACGACAAATCCCAGACAGAAAACTGCTGCTGCGTTCTGTTCATGAAGTATTGACACAAATTTCAAATAATTTTCAACGGTCGCTTTGTCGCGTCCAGTGTACTAGACAGACTTTAGCTGTTGCGGTGCAGACACGGTGTTACTCACCTATCGAGAAGAAACAAAGCAACCTCGGCGTCCGATCGCAGGCCTTCCGCTCCTTGAGTTCTCTCCAGCGCTGGAAAGCTGATCCGAGCTGAAGACTTCTTGCCTTATTGCCTTAAGCCTTTGTTTGTTCCGCAGACATTTTCCTCTTTTGTTTTTTATCCGCCATCTCTATCTTTCTGTCGCTTGGCTTGCTAATGTCCGTCCCGTGCACTGAACTCTTTTTCCTCCACATCATGAGTATACACGCCCCTTACTGCTGATTGGCTACAAGTTTGTTTTGCTATTCGGCCCGAATCAGATTTCTGAAGCGTTTTTGAAAAATCGCTTACCCCACCTTTAAGCATGAAGGTACCTCACACAACTAATTTCGGGCAGGCTTTTAAGGAAGCATAATAGCATAATGATCTACAACTAAATAGAGGGAGCTTTGAAATAATAATTTCTCACTAGACATCACATCAGAAAGTTGGTCAAAAATGTAGATTTGCACACAAACTGATCATTAGCCACAACATTCAGATGCCAATTTTATTTAATTTTTTAGCTCAACTGCAGGGTTGCCAGGTCTGTGAAACAAAATCAGGCCTTTTCTGATCAAAACTAGCCCAAAAATAGTCAATTTATGCTTTGTTTTTTTCTGTGGTTTTTCTGCAAAATCACATTTTGGGGAGATCGCTTTAACCCACAGCAACATTGTAAAAGTTGCCCAATTCCACAGAAAAACCACAGGCTTGGCAACACTGCTCAACTCTCTTTGAACGCACATGATTGTGGGATATGATAGGCAATGAAGGATACATATGCTACCTTCAAAAATCGATCAGATGAAGGTATTTCAGCAGGCAGGATTTGATATGATCATTGCATTCGGATATGTTGCCTTCCTACCTTCGTTTGCTGCCTGCAGAGGAAGCATTTCTCCGCATTTGGATGCAGCCATAAAAACAATGAAAAGTAGTGAGGTGGAAAGGAAAAACACATTCTGTGTGTGACTGTCAGATCACAAAGACTGTGTTGTAATTATGTAAGTATGTAATCTAATGTGCTGTGTTTCTGAGTAAAGCGCTGTGATCATTTTTCACGTGAGCGACTTTTCAGTATCTCTGAGCAACTCGTTTCGCAGTAAATGCTGCTCCACACAAACTCCATCTCTGCAAGTGCAGTGAGTTTGAGTTGGTTATAACATGCATTTGAAAATGCAACCTTTGCCAAACACCTTCCCATGTGATGAGAATGCTTTATAAATCTGTTGTCAACAAAAGATAAGCATTTCAAAATAGAGGTTTGATTTGAACATTTGAAAGCAATAGTATTACAACTAGCAATAGTATTATAGTTAATTGCAATTAGATGTGCTTCCCCAATCTGTTCTGCTTTGATTATTATTTTTTTTTTAATGTTTTTTTATTTATTTTTTTGATGATGATGATGATGATGATGATGATGATGAAAAATGCACATACAGTTTCATGGTCAGTACAAAAATAATAATAATAAAAAAATAAATCTATGGCCAGTAAATTTTCTCAGGTCACCAGCCATTGGCAGGTGTGGCAAGATTTTAGTTTTAGGCCCTGAGCTCAAAGGTATTAGCGAATTTCTCTGAGTTGAAAGGGTCACGAGTCCCATTTCCGAATGAGAACCATCAGAGCATGAACCACTACAGCGTGTCACCAAAAAGCTGATATGTCACATTTCCTCCTCTTCAGCCTCTTCTTCATGGGGCTGAGATCATAACGTGGAAAAATCATGGTTGGCTAGCTTTCTCTCCTTTGTCCTTTGATCCGTTTCTTTCTCCTGCAAAATCTTCTTTTTAGAACATAACAAAGACTTTTATAATAGCATGGTTTGTGTGAAACGCACTATAATTTGCCTTCATTGTCACTCGGCCTGATACATTATGGATGCTTTTGTGTCGCATTCTTTACAAAGCTAGAAACGTCTTTGCACTTTTGGCGTCTGAATGCATCTCGCTCGTATGGATGCGGATATATCATTATGTAGTTGTGACAGCAGCGTTGATTTCAATAGGATCTCTGGCATTCTCTCTCTCCGCTTTGTTCTCCCCGCTGGACCAATTAGCGGAGCAGTGTCATGTCAGACTAAGAAGAGCAGGCCACCTCATCGAATTGCTTTGAGAAAGCTACAGATTTCTCAATTGTTCAAATATTTAAACATCCTTAAAACAAAACACATGTACTTGAAAAGCAGCAAAGCATAAAACATTTAGACTTGTTTTCATAGAATTGTGTATGAGTGTGTTTTGTCTTACAGATTGTTCACTTTTTCAACTATAAAGATCATCCCACACTCTTAAAGGTCCTGGCCTCAGCAACCTTCACTCCTTCCCAGCGTTCCACTCCCTCTTGTCTGTGTCACTTCACTTCTTGCTGATTAATCTTCCGTCCTGCGCGCATTGCGGCTGACTAACGGATGATGGGTGTCAAAACGAGTCAGCCAACTGTTATCCATCTTTTTTGCTCATTTTGTTTGGGAGATCATCATGGAGTTCACATGGGATCTCCCACTCCAAGATTAATGAGGAACCCTGTAGGAACGGAAATGTTTTTGAGCTTCAAGGAGATGTGTCAGGGAAAATGGAGATTGGTTGATATTGCTACAGATTTCTCAATTGTTCAAATATTTAAACATCCTTAAAACAAAACACATGTACTTGAAAAGCAGCAAAGCATAAATCATTTAGACTTGTTTTCATAGAATTGTGTATGAGTGTGTTTTGTCTTACAGATTGTTCACTTTTTCAACTATAAACAAGTAAAAAACGACTGAAAGAAAATCTATTCAAATATGAAGTATTATTTCATATGTTGTACTGTTTTTTTTTTGGTTTTTTTTACCTATATGTATTTATTTTCTTTAGATATTTTTACAGAAAAATAAGTACTTGTTAAATACTTTATAGGACTTTTTTGCAGTGTAATTGGACTTGGGAGGAAAACATGCTACTCATGAAACATGGCAAGAAATGTCTAGGTCATATTTCACATCAAAATCAAAAGACAAAAATAGTTCTGTTATATATATTGAGCCTTTTTAGGATTTTTGGACATTATTTTCATGATAATTAAACTCATTATCCCCCAATTCTCATTACTGTAATGCAGAATAATCTTGATAATGATATTACATCAATTGTAGTACTTACACATCATGGTGTTATTTTTTTTCTTTAACTACTTAAAGCTAATTTAAATAATAAAGAAGCTTAATTATATTACAGTAATGAGATTCTAATGAGAATCACCATTGAGAATAAAGATAATAAGAACATAAAGAAACTATCTGGAAGCATTACAATAATGAGAATTTGGGAGTGAATGCGCATAATTGTAATGAAAATAATGCCAATCATCTTACTGGTACTAAAAATATGGGCTTCATTTTTGCAAAGCGAAATATTATTCATATAATTCTTACTTTTCATCTCGAGGTGAAATGTCACCTGGACATGCACGAGTGCCAAATGCTGCTTCTTTGAAGGTAAAATACGGTTGGAAGAAACATGGCGATACAATCACAATTCAGTGTCAAGGCTGGCAAGGTGGGCGGTGAAAATGTTCCAGGCCTGCAGGTAAAAGGCACAATGCCACCGGCACTTGGCAGAGCTGTCGATATGATTAACCATGACAGTAACAGCACTGGAGGGACGGAGTCATGTTTTAATGGAAATCATTCCCCCATCACTGTTTGTTGAACCCTGGGCCCCATGGACCTGAGTGGGATAGATTTAAACAGAGCAATGATTATCCATGATAATCCTTTAATGGATGGGTCTGGCATTAGGGCAGAGTGCTTCACCCAAAGCTATCATCCTATAGAGCCATTAATCTAGCTGAAAATAAACAATAGAAGAGCTTCAGTCTTGAAATTCTCAGGTAAACCGCATTTTTCCAAGTTTTCACCGCTCAGAATGTCTCCTAATGGGTTTTGTTGAGCTGTAATTACAGGAAAAAGGGTGAAAAAATACATCGCCTGCCGTCTTTTTTGTACATGATGTAAGAAATTGTTTGAAAGGCTGTACTAAGTCCAATGCAACTCCCTCAACTTGTAAAAACTGAACAAATGCCCAGAGCTCTTGATGTGAAACCCTGGAAATCTTGCTGCATGTGTGGGAGAGACAAGTCAGTGAAGGTTAACCTGATTTTTCCATAGTTTAGAAAGTGGGTGAGTGGGCGAATAAGGACAGAAAGTCTGTACTGTCAAATCTATTGTATAAAAGAACCACGGGTGTGCATTATTTTCTTATAATTCAACGGACCGGAGTCAATTATTCACTTATACTACAGTTACCAAGATTAATGTCTCATGCATCTCATCCTACGCCTCCGTTGCTAATATGTAAATGCAGTTTTGAGAGAGAGAGAGAGAGAGAGGGAGAGAGAGAGAGAGAGAGAGAGAGAGAGAGAGAGAGAGAGAGTAGTG